ACCATTAATTTTATAATTATTATTATATCACCAAGACAGACCTATCAAATTGGGACAAATCTCTGTACTTTTTACAGTCATGTTCATCTTGTACAAGTCCCGAGAACCACTCGAGGTTATAGATTAGGAGTTATATCATATATGGATATATGTGAACGATAGCGGTTTACTCTAGGCTTGAAGAAGTTAAGATTGTAATGACCGGGGAAGCATCCTCTTGGGAGTCGGTTGCACAAGACAGCGATTCGCGGGAAGAAGCTGCTCGAGTGAAACTTACATCTCAAGAATGGAATGCGATAGGTATAATGGTAGTTCGATACAATGTTCATAGCATGACGGATCTTAGCTGTTAAGCTTAGAACTGGTGGAACTAAGGAGAACCTTCAACGGAAATCGCGATAGATCAACAAGAGACTTGCGACGTTTCGTCTGTGAGAAAGGAGTTATAGGACGGCAAATAATCACGCTGAAAACACCGGTTCTCGTTCGATCACCGAAGTTAAGCATCGTAGAGCCAGGTCAGTACTTAGATGGGGGACCGCTTGGGAACACCTGATACTGTAAGCCCCCAAAGTCCAACCCTTACCTCACAGTCGATGGGGGGGTGTAAACGGTAGTGTCAGAGCTATGCCGCCCGGAACTTCGTTCCTGGTAGGGCCACCCAAGGCGGACAGGTCTGACACACACGCCGGCAAACAAAGGGCTCTGGTGAAAATCCAAGGAGCGTCTGCATCGGTAACCGGCGGCTTCTGGTCGTTCCTGTCTCTGCGTCTGTGGGAACCCCGCGGCAAGCAAGAACGTTATCTGAGTAGGCCTGGGTACCCTACTTCTGTAATTTATCCCAAGAATCTTCTTCTCATAACAGGAAGAAGCCGGCTCAATCCGCCCAGGGTGAATGCCGCATCAGTACAGTAGTAGTAGTAAATAATTTGTCACCCGCAATGACACAGAGACGCTTTTGGACCCTCTCGAGAGGAGTTGGTAGCTTTCGCCCAAATAAGACAGCAGTGCTCCATTTTCGGCCTGGTCTTGTTATAAAGGTAGAAGATATCAGGAGTTGGGTACTTGCTAGAGCTGTACAAGGAACCGATCAATTTCCCAGCTTCTTTAGCGATGGATCATATGTACGAGTTATATTTAAGGTCTGGGCTGAGTTTGTTCCGAAAGGCGCTCAAGGCAAAGAACCTTTCTGATGGGATATTCGTTCATCGCGATTGGTGAGAATTCTGTGTCCGTTCGGCAACGATGAAATGTAGCTAGTATGATTTTCGAGGTATTGAATGCGACCAGCCAGTTTTTTTCCCCCAAGCCAAGCTCTGGTCATCGTTGGCTTTGGAGATACATCCATATATCTTTGTATCAGTAGCACAGATACTCACAGTGGATCAGAGTATACGCTTAAGAAGATCATCTATGTAAAGCAGGAAGAGGGTTGTATCTTGGGGGATCGTTTGGGTCTTGAAGGAATCGCGGTTTACCTCTAGCTTCAGTGACCTACCCGTTAAAAAAGACCTCATATTTGAGAAGACTCTTCCAGTGATCTCATAGCTAGTGCGCTTGTGTAGCGATTCTTTATGCCACGCCTTGTCAAGAGCCTTTGAAATATCTAATGCGATGTATTTTCAATCAAGTGTCCCACTAATTCTGTGAATAATAGCCGTTAGGATATCAGCAGTAGCCCGGGTCGATCGAAATCCGTAATTTGGTGGTTTCTTTTGAAGTGACCAACAACCTTCTTGTTAATTATAGCTACAAAGAGTTTGCTAATGACACTGAGGAGACGGATGGATCCATACTGTGATGGGCATGAGCACTCGCCCGCATTCTTAAGAACCGGGTATAAACATGACACATTCCACAGACTTTGGAATCGTTTCACCTTAAAGTAGGGACAACCACTTGGATTTTTGGTGATCTTAGGGTCAAGACTTTTGATAAACGCAATAAAATAATGGGTAATGACTATGTTACGATGCACGAGCTCATACAATCCAATTTGCTCATGTATTGAATAGTACTTTACACCGTTGTGCAAATTAATTGAAACGGCCGCTTTAGTTACCTTTCTTTCACCATACGATCGCTTTTAGACCCACTTGAGTGACAGGGTGTAATCGATTTCTATTTTTTCCTCAGATTAGGTCATTTGCAGTGTTATGCAGTAATATGAATCTAATTTCGAGGTGGATGATGAAATTTGTTTGGTTTTGTCATCCGGGATTGCATCAGATTTTTGTCACGATCAGACACTATTGTCTCGACTGTCGATTAGTTGTCTTACGGGCATTGTCTGCAATGGACGTTACTGCCGAAAACGTTGTGATAAAAACAACAAAGATAAGGACCAAGTGTAAATGATAATAACTCCTCATCCCACAAATTCAGACAGGGTTTATTACAGAATTCGCAATATGAAGACGAGACGTAAAGCAACAGAAATGTGGTTCTACATAAGGATGCTGAGGATACCGTGAACCAGACATGTGAATTTTTCTGAGAAAATGAAAAAAAAAAAAAAGGAAGTCATAGTTAACATCAGAAAGAGACAGTTCTAGGGCACGGAATGAGGAAAGAGGGTTTGGCAAATCTGATATTCACGGAACTGATGGCAAGAGGAACAGAGGAAAACAACACATAACATTCTTAGTGAGCATGAGTAAATGGATGGCGGATCAGGACTTAGAAGAATTCACGGAAAAAGTTCATTAAGAGCTACAAGGGACAGGAAGTTGTGGAAAGCCATGATCGCCTACGTCCTGAGTGTACACAGCATATAAAGAAGTGGTACACTGACTTTTACCCTTTCTGGAAATCAGTTCCTCTTCGATGAAAATGAGATTAATACCAAACTTCTGTTTCTGATTTAATCATCGACCTCGCAAAAAAGAATTTGATCATAAAGTCGGATTGTACAACTACTTTTTATCACAAGTTACACAAGAGTGATTTATAATCAATATCAAACCCTGCTTAATTAGCGTGAGATATACTATAAGCTACTGCGTAAAGGTACCAATACCCTGAAGGCGTTTGCACAAATTGTATAAGTACTTACGCATTGAAGAAAGGGAGATTAGCACAGATTTGAAATCAGAATATTTTATAATAAATTTCACCCAATACAAGGTTCAGGAGTCACTCAATGTAGAGAGTTACCGTTAAAATGTTTATCATAAATATGGTATGTGAATGAATGAAAAAGGAGGTCGTAAGAATTTAGAAAGCAGCGATTAACACTTGAAGAAGGTAAAATTCTAATGTTAGGGAGGCGGTGTCTGTTCTACAATGTAGCAGTTCTTGGGTGGAAAAGCAGAGAGGAACGTTCTCCTTACATTTGGAATACGGGGGAAACAAAGGTGATTCGGCTCTGTGGAAGAAGCATGGCGTATCTTAGAGTTAAAAATTGGAACTGGTGGAATGACGCTCTTCTGAAAACATTTTTGAAATTGCATTTTGATTGATTGGTTTGTTGTTTACGGCTTGTCAACCTTTTGAAGGTTATCTAAAGCCCGAAAATATATATTTAGATTGTAAGCATTTTTTTGAGAAAAATAATGATTTAATAAAACAAGATCCTACTAATTAACCCATAGCTGGGGGGAAGATGTGGTTTCATACCTTTCCCAAGGTATATTCGCGCGTAATTGAATATACCGAACCCGACTGTTTATTCGTTTCTGGGTCTACGTTTAAATCACAATGAAAACACCAATTCTCGTTCGATCACCGGTTAAGCAGTATCGATCTCGGTCAGTACTTAGATGGGGGACGCCTGGGAATACTCTAAGCAACCTCCTACAATCCAAAATGTTTTTTTTTAGTCATTTCACCTCAAACAAGGCGATAATTAAATAAGCCAAAACATATTTTTAGATTATAAGAATTTTGTTTTGGTTGGGGAGATAATGATTTGGTGATACAAGTCTTACGAATTAACCCATAGCTGGGGAGAGAAGAGGTGGATTCAAGTGAACATAACGAACTCATACGGAATTGGAACTCGGCTTCCTGATTAACAATTCCAAACCATTACCTATTACGCCCATCGCACATACACCTGGTATTCCCAAGCTGTCACCCATCATGGTACTGGCCAGAATCGACATTGCTTAACTTTGGTGATCGAATGTGGATAAATAAAAATACGGCACAAACTATGATAATGGAAATTTAATTAGTGTTTTTTTTTTTAAATTTTTGCATGGTATTTATTTTTTTTTTCTCGTATTTTTGATTTTCTTTGTCAATTTTGCCGTTGCTTGTTAGGTAGATTTTTAGACAGATCACTCCATTTTATTTTCTCCATTGCCCGACGTCATCTTGCAAACTCTCACTGAGAATGCCTTGATAACAAATTCGCTCAAGGCGTGATAATTGTTTACAATTTAATTACATTTGGCTTTTCGTTTTACACTTTTTAAAACAGTTCTTTTTTTTTATTTGGATTTAATTTTTCTTGTTCACTCCATTAATATCTTTGTTTTATATTTGCAGAGCCTTTCTTTTTTAGTCTTTAATTGAAATAAAAGTCGTACCTTGCAAATGGAGTTGACATTTTACCTCTTTGTCTAAACGCTGAAATGCTGGTAGATTCCACATATACAACTCCCGTTAAAAAAAAACACCCCAATCCTGCACAAATCAAGCAACAAGAAGAAAAAGGAAATGGCCATGTTTTGTTAAATATTTGTTTTTATTTTAGTTTTCTTCTGTAGTATCTTTTTTTTAAAACTCTTCAGTTTAGATTTTTGCCTACTATTTTTATTATAAAGACACTGTTTAGTATGTACACGTACACACACATATATATATATATATATATAATTCGAAAAATAAAAATATATGCGTGAGTGTGTGCGCAGGCGCGTGTTTTTGTGTGTTCATGAAGAGATTGAAAATAGACATTAGGCATTTTGAGTGAATGTCGAAGGGGAGAAATGGCCCCCGATGAAGATATTTAAAAATAAAGAGGAGCAAAACAGAGGCAGGGAACGGCAATCTTACATGTAACAGGAGAGAGGAAGAGAGACGGGGGTAAATTGGGAGAGACGGAGAGAAAGGGAGAGTGAGGGGGAGAGAGAAGCACGTTTATATGTTAAGTGAGAAAGAGCAGCTTGAGAAATGACGCGTGAGAGAATAAGCGAGAGAAGACTGAAAGAGATAATAAAGAAAATGTATTAGAAAGACACAGAAAGAGAGAGGGAATGAAGGAGAGACGAGGTTACATGTTAAATAAACGAAAACAACCTTAGATATAACAGTAGAAAAAAAGAAAGATTGAGAAAGATGGAAAAAGAGAGAGAAAATGTATTAGAAATGAAGAGAGAGAGAGAGAGGGAGAGAGAGGAATGCAAGAAGAAGAAGAAGAAGAAGAAGAAGAAGAAGAAGAAAGGAAAAATATATGAAAAAAAGAGAAAAAATGAGGGGACCCAGGTTGTATTTTAAGGGCAGGTACGGAGGAAAAGAGGCATTATTTACACTATTTACATTCAGACTGTTGTCCTCATCTTTTTTGTTATTATCACATGACTTCCTTCTCTCTGAATTTCTGGGACGAGAAGTTGCTATTATTTGCACTATTAGGACTCCAGAATCAAACGGGTTGGATTCATCGATGTCCCAGGCTAGGGCGTATTCCACGAAAGGGAAACTGCAAGTTTTGGGTTTTCCCAAATTGAGGACTGCGAGCTGAAATTTCTTTCTGTACCTGGGAAAGCACCATGGACTTGTAATCTATAGCATTTGCTGGAGGAGGCAGATTTAGCCTCACTGATTTGGCCCATGCTAACAAAAAAGCAACCACTCGGTTTGGCTGCTGTAAGAAATTGAATGGTTGGCTACTCTCGTCAGTGTGATGTCACTAAGAGGCCGTCGCGTCATCCATCTGACTTATCTCCACCACAGACAGATAACTGCCTTCTATATCTCTGCAAGATGAAAGAGACGATAGCGTTGCTAACCAGTTTTGATATGTTAGCCATCAAAATTCAGTTGTTAAGGTTAGAAGTTTTGGTCTTGTGTATTTTTATCAAAGGTGCATTCATGAAAGTACCTGTAGAATTTGGCACGGCATGTTGGTTTTTACATTCAAAATGAATGAACGTTGAGCGAACGTTATTTTGGAAAATGCATTTTCTTCTGTATAAGAATCGAAATTAGTATCCTTTTGGTGAGACAGAGTTCGTAGCTTGCGGTATGTAAGAACAAAAAGGGAGAGAGAGAGAGAGAGAAAAAAAGAGAGAGAGAGATGCCTTATTTGTAAAAGGCAGTGGTCCTGATTAGTTTTTTGTTGATTAGAGTAGAGTGGACTAGCCTATCCCTTTGTCTGGCAAAAGGGTAGAGAGGACTGATGTCTAGACCATATCTTTCCTGGGTTTATAATGATGTCGTTATGTAGGCGGGAAGTGCGGTAAGTGTGTTGGGAGATTGTTCTTCGCTTTGATACTTAGATTTTGATTTTTTTTGTTTCACATATCTAAGCATTTGGTTTCAGAAACAAAGTTAGCTAAGTTGCCTGTGCTTAAGAATGCCGATGTTAATGTTAATGAACTGTTAAGTAGATGAAACATGTCAGCGAATTATTATTTTATTTATTAAACTTTGCCTCCTAATACAAACGTACTGTATCCCCGCTATTCAAATGTATTTTAATTAATTGGTTCCTGTTTTAGACAATACTTAATTTACGAAACACGTTAATACGTGATATTCAACTGAGTTCCTTGCTGTAACGAATTTTGTAGCTCGTTCTGGTATATTTTTACCTGAGTAACGCATAGAGGTTGGCGCAGAATGTTGTTTTTTACATTCAAAATGAATGCAAGCTTAGCTAACGTTGTTTTGGAAGATTTATTTTCTTTTGTATATAAACTCGTATCCTTTCTGTGAGATAGAGTTCGTAATATCAGGCCTACTATATGACAATGATTGTGTGTAGAAGTAAGCGCAGAATGTTTTTTCTTTGCATTCAAAATGAACGAAAACTTAGTGAACCTTGTTTTGGAAGGTTTATTTCCTTTTTGTATGAATACAAATTGAAACCTTCCCGTGCGACAGCGTTCATAGCTCGCGGTACGTTGGAACTGAGAGAGGGACACCTTTTTTGTAGCAGGGAGTCGTTTTGATTAGTTCTTCGGTGGTTAGAGGAATGAATCAGCCTATCCCGTTTTCTGGCGAAAGGGTAGAGAGAATTGAGTATTTATCCGCGCGACCACACCATAAAAGAAATGAGACACAAAGGCTGAGGTTTAATGTAAGTTTAACAAGAGTAACCTAGAAAAATTCTCAATTCCCCTCGACATTTCTCCTTTTTCGGGGACGCCGGGTAACAAAGCCCAGCCCTCTTCTGAACGAGAGGTACTGCCTGGGTGGGGATGGCCGTCTAAGGGTTGAGGTAATATTATTGGCAAAAGAGCGAACTCCTATACCGTTCAGTTATACTTTGCTCGTATAATCAGTTATGTGTCATGCGTGATACATGCTTTCGATACATGATTAACCAGGCAGATATTTTCCCGCAGTAGGTTGCCATTTCTTTCTGCGGTAGACCAGTTGCTATCCAAGGCTATAGAACCCGGTCTGTCTTGCGATTTACCCATAGTTGGAGGAAGAAGAAGAGGATTCATACCTTTCCCAAAGGTTTTAGCACGTAAGTGAATCTCAGTTATGTGCCATGGGAGATACAGGCGTAGGCGATCATATATCTTTCGATACATGACTGACGAGGCAGATTTTTTTCCAGTAGTAGGTTGCCATTTCTTTCTGCTGTAGATCAGTTGCTATTTAAGGCTATAGAACCCGGTCTGTCTTGCTATTTACCTATAGTTGGGGGGGGGAGAAGAAGAGGATTCATACCTTTCCCAAGGGTATTAGCACGTAAATGAATGTAATGGATTCAACTGAAATTTGCTCGTATAGAGAGAACTGATATCGTAATCGTCTTCCCCTTAATTTATATTTACGTCGGTAAGTGGTCTTGGAGTGCGGTGAGTGTGGGTAGGATTGTACTTCGGTTTGTACTGGGTCTTTTATCTTTTGTTTGGCTTATGCAAGTATCTGGTTTCCGAAGTCACCTGATTGACCTGACCTTAAGAATGTCGTTATTAATGAGGTTTTAAGGAGACTATAAGTAGATGATACTTTTCAGGGGATTTAAGAAATATTTTAATTTGTTTTTATTTATTAAACTTTGCCCATTAATATATGCACAACTCATACTAGTGCATGTACAACTCATGCACAAAGATTTTTTTGAATTTATCGGTTTTATTCGCAGAAGTTTTTTCTACAACCGCAACGGATAGTGGCGAGAAAAGGTTAGCGAGCTAGTCTGGTTGAACTTTACTACTGAATAGTGAATTAGATTCTCTTGTAACTCATAATTGTAGCCTTGTGCCAAACTAATCTAAGCTTATTAAATGATAACAATTAAGGGAGTCTAGTAAGTCAAATATACGTGATTGAAAGAAAGAAAGAAAGAAAGAAAGAAAGAAAGAAAGAAAGAAAGAAAGAGAGAAAGAATGAAGTAATAGGGCAAAGAAGGGAGAGAGAGAGAAAGAAAAATAGGGTGATAGAGAAATAAAAAGAGAAGGAGAGCAACAAAAAAGAAAGGAAGAAAGAGAAAAGAAAGAAAGAGAAAAGAAAGAAAAATGAAAGTACAAGAGTTCTAGGGAAGAAGAGAAAGAAATATAAAGAAAGGAAGAAAATCAGAACGCGTAAAGAAAGAAAGAATGATGAGAGAAATTACAAGAGTTCTAGGGAAGAAGAAAAAGAAAAAAAGAATATTGGAATGCATAAAGAAAGAAAAATGAAAGAAAGAAGGAAAGTACTGAGTTCCAGAGAAAGAAAAAGAAAGAAAGAAAATTGGGCGCATAAAGAAAGAAAAATGAAAGAAAGAAGGAAAGAAAGAAGGAAAGTACTGAGTTCCAGAGAACACGAGAAAGAAAAAGAAAGAAAGAAAATTGGGCGCATAAAGAAAGAAAAATGAAAGAAAGAAGGAAAGAAAGAAGGAAAGAAAGAAGGAAAAAAAGGAGGAAAGAAAGAAGGAAAGTACTGAGTTCCAGAGAACACGAGAAAGAAAAAGAAAGAAAGAAAATTGGGCGCATAAAGAAAGAAAAAAAGTAGAAGAGTTCCAGGGAAGTAGAGAAATAAAGAAAATAGGAACGTATATATAAAGAAAAAAAAAAAGGAAAAAAAAAGGAAATACAAGAATTATAGGGGAGAGGAGAAAGAAAAAGAAAGAATAATCGGATCTAAGAAAGAAAGAAAGAAAATCGGAAAATGTAAATGTAAATCGCAAAATGAAAAGAATCAAAGAAAGAAAGAATAAATTGGTGAATGTGCAAAAGAAAGAGAATCTGAGGGCGTGAAAAAAAAAACTGACGGAAAATCTAAAGAAAATATGAGAGGATAAAAAAAACTGATGAAAAATAGAAAGAAAGAAAAAAGAAAGAAAAAAGAAAGAAAGAAAAAAGAAAATCAGAGCGCTTAGAAAAAAATTAAAGGAAAATAAAAAAAAATGGAAAGAAAGAAATAAAGAAATACCAGAGCGCAGAGAAATCTAAAGGAAAATTAAAGATTGAAAAAAAGAAAGAGCCAAAGGGAAAGGGTGGCGGAAAGGAAAGAAAAAAATAAAGAAAATACGAGAGCTTGAAGTAAGATGAGGGAGAGAGAGAGTAATAAATTAAAGAGGGAGGGGGAAACAAAACAGAGAGACGGATAAAGAGAGAGACGGATATATATATATATATATATATATATATATATATATAAAAAGTGTGTGTGTGTGCGTGTGTGTGTGTCGAAACGAGAAATTTTTCGGGATAGAACGGAATGGCAACATTAAGTTCCTATATTTACGTCGTCATAAAGGATTGTCCAGCAGAAAAGAAAAAAAAAACGCCATTTATAAAAATAACAAACCCTCAAAATAAAGTGAATCCGACTCCAAGTCTAAAAATAAAAGAAATAAACGAATACATATATATATATATATATATATATATATATATATATATATATATATATATGCATGCATAAATTTAAATCAAATCAGACTTGTAGCAAATTACAGACTTGTATTCGTAATATCTTTTCTTGTTCGTTTTCAGTTTAAGGAAACGAGAGAGGTTTACATGTAATTAATTTAATTTTTTATTTTATTTTATTCCCTGTTTATCTCAGTGTCGTAATTTGTTAACACGCTGACAATCAGATAATAAGGATTTTTCGTTTCGTTTTTATTTCATTTTCAATTAACTTTCATTTTGTTTTTGTTTCGTTTCCTTAGATCCTTCGACTTGATCGACTGAAATGAAAACTATTTTGTTTCCTTCCCTATTTTTGTGTGTCCTATGACATCACTGATCGAGCCTTCAGTGCATGAAATGTCCTGAATGTATAGTAAGCATTGCAAACGAGGAACAAAGCATGGAGACATGCACCGGTTTGTTCAACACCCACTGAGCACACCTGCAACTATACCGAATAGACATTAATTAACAATTCTGGGAGAGAGAGCTAATCATCTGGAGTAATCAACAGTTTCAACACGGTCAGTACGTTTACACACTCGGTCACGATAACTTGTGACTTTGTGCTTGCACAAACAGCTTCTACCTAATTTCAAGTTTTCAGTCAACCTTTGCTATTGTTTTCAAACACTTTCCAAAGTGGCCGCGCGATGAAGTCATCACCCTGACAAATCGACCCTGGTGAGATTTGAAGCCGAGTCTCATAGCCAGCCACCCATCCATTACAGTGAACACAACAGCACACAACAAAGAAGTACCTTAAACTTACTGGAATACACTGAGGAATATATAATAACTGTACCAAACCAACAAAGAACAAGTCCTGGGTATGACGATAAACTACATCTGGCAGCAAAGTCCCTGATCGGGAGATTGAAGGATTTGAGGAACATGGAATCACCTCTTAATATTAGGTTGGTGCAAAAATAATGACGTAATAATGTCGTTTTTTGACGTTAAAAAATACGTCAAAAACGACATTATTACGTCATTATTTTTGCACCAACCTAATAATTGTTGTTCCCATGTTCACCCTGACCCGGGGTGGTAGCATGTGTTAGGATCCCAGCTATGGGGAAGTAGTGAACCCCCACCCCACAAAAAACTACGAATGTATAAAAATAGATTTATATAGCAAAGGTACCAATAATACTTTTTTATATAAAAAGGACCAACAATGCATATTTATAGCAAAACAACCAACAATAGATTTTATCTATAGTTGAAGACATGCAATTGCATTCAAAATATATTTAGTTGCAACCATAAAATTGTGTTCAAATTATTTAGATTTCAGCAGTAAATAACCCATAGAGGTTGGCATGACGCTAAATCAAACCAAACAAAGAACACTACTCAAAATGCAAGTCACTCACAATTTCATGTGAACTCGTCCATACAAAAAGAACCCTATCTGTATTCTTTGTATTTAGATTGCTTAGGCAATAAACTGTGTGGTTAAATGCACGTAATTGTTTATATATTAATTTTATATGCACTTGTTTGAAGAAACTTCAATGCGTCCATTATAAACTATTATTACTGCACTATCATTTTTTTCTAATGCTCCCAAATACGAATAAGGAGTAACTCAAGGTAGAGGGTTAGTGAATAATGTCCCGGTCCACACTCCTCCCCCTTCTCTTACGCCTTGTTTCTTGTTTAGGAAGGGGTTTCCGGTACTCTCTCTCTCTCTCTCTCTCTCACTTCTTCTATCACTCCTATCTGACCTTGCTCCAAATTTTCTGTAACCCCTTGCGTCCTAGTGGCTTTCCGTCTTGCTTGGGGTGAGGCGTTTAAAAAAAAGAAAAGAAAAAAAAATGTGATATGAATTTGAGTAGAAAGTAGAAAGTGTAGATTATGATAATATGGAGGCGAGATAACGATTCACTCTTCACTTGAAGTGATTGCGATTTTTTTGTTGGAAAGGAAATCGATTTGTCCAGACAAAATGAAAAGGGAGAGGAAAAAAAAGAAGGAAACATTTTTATATTAAAAGAGGAAGAAAGAAAAAGAAAAAAAATTAATAAAAGATTTTAAAAAATAATTGGGGAGAGAGAGAGAGAGGGGTTGGAAGAAAAGAGAGGTAGCAGAGGGAAAGAGAGAAGGAGAAAGAGAGAATAAGGAAAGAAAAGAAAGGATAGAAGGAAGAATTAAATATGAGCCGATAGGTTGACCTAGAAATAAATTTACACTCGCACACACGCGCGCGCGCACACACACACACACACACACACACACACACACACACACACACACACATATATATATATATATATATATATATATATATATATATTTGTAAAGAATTAATGGGTCTTAATTTTATAATCCAAGATATTTTTATTACATTAAACGTTATTTTTAGTGGATACCCGTATTTGAATAGAAGTCCGTTTATTTTGAAAAGTACTATATTTCGTCTACGGGAAGTGCAATTTATTGAAAAGAATGCATACAAGTTTGGCAAATGTAGCAGCAGGATCAGCTATTTTTACAGCAATGGATATGGCTGTCGATCAAGTCCATTGCTTACCAGGGTACAGTATTACTCTCAAGTGAAATCTTATTTAATCTTCGAACTTTTCTGTTTTACTTTCACTCATTTCCATTGATTTTTTTTTGTATCACCTTTCCCTGACGGCTAATTTATACTCTAACTTACATTTGACATCTACAACTTTTTACTTTCGAGCCACCCTTTTCGACGCTACCACCACTACCACTAAAACTCAATTTTATTCCTGACGTTTTTAACTTTCCCGAAAGACAGGCGTATGCACTGATACGTTGGGTCGGTTCTTTTAACCGACACAAGGAGTTTCCCCCCCTTGGGAAATCAAGCAGAGTGGTTAAGAAAACAACCTTACTGGCAAGGAAGTTAGTAGATATTGAAATACGTAAACACGTGTTTGATACTTACATACAATCGTACTTACAACTACCTGCCTGCTTTTAGGTACATACACTTCAGTGTTTTTGAAAGTATACGCATGCCTTTTTTGATAGGCCTATGTTTTTATATATATATATATATATATATATATATATATAACAATGAAAAGAATATAAATTCAAACGTTCATAACATTAATTTAAAAAAGGGGTCAATGCAAGAGGGGAACAATATTTATTGCTCCACTCTTGCATTGACATTATTTAATATAAACTGTTACATTGCTACATACAAGCTACCACGACAAAAATGCGTATTTGTTTCGACGTCTAAAGACGTCTTGTCAGGTGCTTAACTATCTTAGGAGACGTCTCTAGACGTCGAAACAAATATGCATTACATCAAAAAAATAGGGCAATTTTAGTTGTGTTTATTATGGATGAAGGCGTATTGTACATGGCGAATTACGGTAATACATGTAATGCAACAGATTATAGCATGAGTTTGTGTGTGTGTATGCGTGCACGAATGTCTGTGTTTTTGTGCACGAACACAGGTGATCTTTTTCCGCTATAATCGATGTGTAAGTCGTACTTAGTCTATAAGTTTTGCATTTGTTAATCTATCGAGATAAGAATAATGCATAAGTGCGATTATTAAATGTTATAATCACATATTCACGTGTGTTGATTGCCAGAAATGGGCAGAATCTATTTAGATTGAAATGTTCAGTCCATTTTCAAGAAGATCCTTACGTGCTTAGCATAAGAATGAAAATTGGTAACGGGCAAAATTCTCCTGTGAAAAGACTAATTGTGCTATTTGGCAGAGTTGACTAACAATCATGATATGAAGTTCGTGATATTTCATACATTTGTGAAGGAGTTCTGAAAATGTTATTAAAATCTGACAATTATTCGATTTTTGCAAAAAAATTTCCAAAACAATGTATTTTTTTAACCGCAAAAAAGACGCTAAATTTGGCATACTACTGACGCAAGAAAAACAAGATTTTTAACCAAGATTTCAAACGTGATAGAAAGGATTAAAAATTAATATAACAATAAAAAAATATTTTCCTCTTTCCTGTTAATAATAGCATAAACATTTTGACGATAAAACTTTGTTTTTTAAAGTTTGGTGGGCCCTTTTTGCATCATGGTATGCCATTTATGATAAAAAATTTTGGAGGTACAAACACACATACACACACACATACATATATATATATATATATATATATATATATATATATATATATATATATATATATAATATAAAAAGGCTCAAACACTAATATTCCATGGTTATAATTTATTACATTGGAATGGTAATTACGATCCAAATCATCAGACGTACAAATTCAAAAATTTTTTTGAATTGGTAGGTCTGATAACAATTACCATTCAATGTAATAAATTATAACCACAGTGTTTTATCCTTTATATTTTATTCTTTTGTTGACATTGAGTTCTACCTGGATTCTATCCTCTTTGGAATTTATACATATATATATATATATATATATATATATATATATTGACCACTAATATTATCTATCTATCTATCTATCTATCTATATATATATATATATATATATATATATATATATATATATATATAATATTATTTACTAATATGGATTCCTCGTGACAGAAATTACCATGTTAAAGGAACTAAAAACTAAACTTTAAATTAAAATTAAAGTTTTTGTTCTATTCTCAAGTAATGTTGAATAATTTTCGAAAAAATAATCTGTTTCGAAAGTTATTCAGCATCACTTGAGATTGGAACAAAAACTTTAATTTTAATTTAAAGTTAAGTTTTTAGTCCCTTAACATGGTAATTTCTATGTCACGATGAATACATAATTTTAAATAATAATATTATAATAATAAGCTCCATTATGCCCACTGGTCTTAAAAATAAATGCTAAAGAACTGTGGATTATAAATCTGGCATTCTTTTCTTTATCTATCTATCTATCTATCTATCTATCTATCTATCTCCGTCTGTTCATATCTATCTATTTATCTCCGTCTGTTCATATCTATCTATCTATCTCCGTCTGTTCATATCTATCTATTTATCTCCGTCTGTTCATATCTATCTATCTATCTCCGTCTGTTCATATCTATCTATCTATCTATCTATCTATCTATCTATCTATATATATATATATATATATATATATATATATATATATATATATATATGGGATAGCGACATATAAATGTTTATATATTAGAAACAGTTTTGAAAGTAAGAAAATATATATGACAACTTTGAAAAAGCTTTGGGGACGTATTTCTTTCGTTGCACTTCTCATACACACACACACACACACACACACACACACACACACACATATATATATATATATATATATATATATATATATATATGTGTGTGTGTGTGTGTGTGAGAAGAGAGAGAGAGAGAGAGAGAGAGAGAGAGAGAGAGCCATTACACCACGTCTAAGTAGCCAAAAATATATAGCGATTTACTAAACGCAGCTGAAATGTGACACTAAGTCAAAAGTATGTCGCATCCAGTGAGAATCGAACTCACAACTCGATCGTAAGTGATCTAGTGTAATTCAACGGTAAAGAAAAAAAAAATCTGTTCACCGTTCGTTCGAATAATCAATTATCACAATCTTTAATTCGTGTGGCTTGCAGAGATCTTTGCGACCATCTACCCCGTGACTGATTAGAACCACAAATTATGCTTTATGTATGAGGTCTCTTAACAACAGACACATTAATCAATTCTTGATAGCTGGGTAAAATCCCAAAATGCTAGATAATGTTTAACGAAACGTCGATCTGTGCAATGTTCTCCAACCTAAAACCAGATACCAGATGAGATAATTCATCACACGCGATGAATCCGATTTAAGCATCTGTTTTATTTCGTCCAAACATATCGTGCCACCCGATTACTCCGTAATGTACCCGTTTTTTTTTTATTACCTTTTAATTTTTGTCGAATTCCTGTTATTTAATAAAAATCGGTAGTGTTTGACATCCTAATTTCTATCCAAAGTTTTTATAGATGCTGAAATCCTGGCTTATGGCTATGTCACATAGAAACATCGGTTCTCAAGCGATCACTGAAGTTAAGCGACGTCGACCCTTAGTCAGTATCTATATGGGTGACCACCTGGGAATACCAGGTGCTGTAAGGTTGGATGTGCGGGTGGTGTAATTGATAATGACTCGGAATTCTAAATTGGAGAGACGAGTTCCAATTCCAGACAGGTTCGTAATATTCACATATGTGCAAATTTCCTTTGGAAAGGCATGAATCCCCCTCTTCTCCCCCGACTCAGCTATTAGGTTGGTGCAAAAATAATGACGTAATAATGTCGTTTTTGACGTTAAAAATACGTCAAAAAACGACATTATTACGTCATTATTTTTGCACCAACCTAATAATTAGTAGGATTTTTATTATTAAAATCAATTTTATCTTCAAAAAAATATTTACAATCTAAAAATATTTTCTGGCTTTTAATAACCTGCAAAATGCTGATAAGCCAAAAAAAAAAAACTCATTCCAAATCCTAAATTTCTATTTTGGGGGGTTAATTTTTCAATTATGGATCTGGAGACTTTTAATTCCCTACCGTTATTTTAAGGCCCGAATTTCATCTAAATACAAAAATCTCTCGATGATAGTCAAGAATGGGAACGGAATACCCTTCAGTTAAATATTTAATCAGTGTAAAACAGTTTTTTGTTGCAGCTTGTAAAATCTTAGCTACATTAATAAAAGTATTAACGACATCCATCACATCACATTAGGTCGATATAGGTAATTCCATTTGAAATTAGAATTTCAGTAAGACATATGCGAAGTAGTAGATGAAAAACTTACAGACATCCAAATCAAGAGAGTAAGAAAATCTATTTATGGAAGTGTTTTACCAGACGACGAAAAATACGAAACTGAAATCTGTAGGCGCATTGGAATAGAGGAAGATGTCTTCCAAAAGCCAAGCAAAGTATTAAGAAACAGGAAAAATTCATTAGAACTAAAGAAAAGAGTACTGAACTGTTGTGTAATACAAGTTGTATTATATTGCATAATATTGGGGGACAATCTTCTCACAGAGGTTGAGGAGGAGACGAGGTAACAGAAATGTGGTTCTACAGAAGGATAATGAGTATACAATGGATTGAACATGTGAGCAAAGATGAAACTTTAGGGAAAACGGAAGCAATAATGACGCTTATACTTCGAGCTAGAGAGAGATAATTGAAATTTCCAAGACACATGACGAGGAATGAAGGTTTGGGGGTATTTGACTCTCACAGGGCATATTGAATGTAAAATGGGGTAGAGGAAAGCCGCCTATCGTCTGGAGACCCTGCTGTTTGTCTTGAGCTCTTTGCTGCTCCATGAGCTTGTGTAAATGGTTTGCAGATCAGGGATAAGAGAGATGGCGAAAAGACAAACCTTGCTAAGGGCTGCAAAGAATGTTAATGGATGACGTTCCAGCTTTATCAAAAGTGCAGATGTGGGCAGCTGAATTTAGGAGGGGGGAAAGAAGAGTCTTGAAGATAACCCAATGTTTGGACGACCTGCAGCTTTCAGCATCGAGTAAAAGATAGATCGTGTTCGCCTCACGTTGATTGATAACAGGTGACTGACTGTAAATCAAATAGCCAATGCTATTAGCATGTGCCGTGAGTTGGGAACATTTTGCATAAATAATTTGACATGATGAAGGTTTAGGCTTAATAGATGTCACGTCTTCTGTCTTCTGACACCTTATAAAAAGAGCAAGAATCATATTACATCACAAGAAAATCTGGCATAGCTTGAAGCAGATCTAGCTGTATTTTTTTGAAGATTTCCTAATCCAGGATGAGTATTGGGTTGCTCACTTTGATCCAGAAACAAAACGACAATCCATGCAGTGGAAATACCCTTCCTTACCTTCTTCAAATAAGGCCAAGTTCGTTTCACCTGCAAAGGAGGTAATAGCTTCATTCTTGGGACGTAAAAGGAATTATGTTTATTGACATCATATCAAAAGGGCCACACCATCAATAGAGAGATCTATGCCAAATTGCTGAGGCAGTTACGAAAGACTACCAAGACCAAAACGCCCAGAAAAAACTGACGAAAGGTGTCTTTTTTTCATCAGGACAATGGTCTCGCATACAAATCTCAATGGTTGCTCTGCGTGAATATGGCTTTGAATTGGATGATCATTCTCTTTAGTCACCTGATTTGGTTCATCTGTTTCCCAACATAAAAATAAAAACTTGGCTGGGAAACACTATCGCAGTAATGATGACGTCATATCTGATTTTGATGATATTTTTGACCAACAGGATGAAGGCTTCTTCAGCAACGGAATCCAACCACTGTAACCCCGATATAAACCGCAATGGTAACTATATTGAAAAATAAACCTCATTTGATCCGATATCATGAGAGTACCTTGGCCGACCTTGCTAGTCAACCCCTCACTGACACCTGATGGATACATTGCTGAATAGTCCTAATATTTATTTTTTCATATTCCTTTTTATAATAGCCATATTTTCTTTCAAATTTTCTCTTCTTTTTAAATATGTCTAATTTTATATTATATTGATTAAATTTTGTATTTCCAATAAGATTTTAAATTCCTTTGTATGTTTGCTGTTGAATAACTTCCTAATTTTGTTTTCTTTTTTTAAATCTAGGAACTATACTCTTTAATGTAAACCGCAATTTATATATTTATCGTTCATGCATCCTGATCTCCCCTTCTTCTTAATATGTTTGTTTTTAAAGTAGCCGGTGTCATTATTCGACACCAATAAGCGAATATACTTCGTATTACCATAATAACTCACTATTAAGTACGGGATTTCAGATTACTAATACATTTATTTATTTATTTTTATTTTTTTTTACTTTCACTGATTTAAAAAAAAAAGAATGATACTTCTGGATGTGCGGATGGTGTAACGGTTATCGGCTATAGGTTAAATAGCAATATAGACTGAATTCTTTTGACTTAGATATCAAACGCTTTAGGAGAAGGAAAACTCTAGATTCAAATCCAGCCTATAGATTGATGGACTCATCAAGCCATTCTGCTCTCGGCATATCCACTTCTGTTACAGCTACATTACATAGGGTACTCTCACGACCCTCATGAGTTACGCAACTCGTGAGGTGACGATTTCGAAAGAAGCCGTAGAATCACTTTATTTACACATATGCAGTAAAATAATTAATGCACTTAAGAATATTTCTTAAGTAGACAACAGTCGGAACAATCTAAATAGTCGTGAATATGACAATAAAGATGAGGACAATAGTCCGAAGAATGTAAATAGTCGTGTATATTTCCTAAGTCGAGTTGTTACTTTTTGATTGTACGTGTAAACTAGTATTAAAACGAAAATTATAATATACACTGAGCCGAGGAGATCTACTACAGCTGCTTGTACTTTGACTGGTCAAGCGATAGTAGTCCACTAGACTGATAGATTGCGTACAAATTGCATGCAAAACATTTTTTTGACAGCACAAGAAAGGACAAGAATTGAAAGCAGGGAGCATCGGGGAAGTAATGATAATACCATTGTGTTTGATTTATTAGCGTTTGTGCCAAGTTCAGGGTAGTGTCTAAAATTAACAGGGCCCTGAATCGATATATCACCGAAGAGTCGAAGTTAATATCCTAGTTTTACAATGATTAAAAAAATGTACAAACTGACAGCGAATTAAAAGAATAGGAGCCTGACGATCGGGAAAAAAAGCGTGTTCTTTGGCGCGATCTCCAATACGTAAAATGGGTAGCGAAGAAAGTCTTTTATGTGACATTAATACAGAACTACTGTTTTTTTTTGTTTGTTTTTTTTCTTCAATTATTTCATCCAAAGCAAACCACTGAGACGTAAGGAGATTACGGAGAGTGAGAGAATATGAAAAAAAAAGAAAATACATTATTAATGAGGAAGGAGACTAATAAACGAACAGTCATTATACTTTCTTTCATATTTTACCAATACAGCGGTAGTTGCTTATCTCGCATACCGAGGACTTGATTTTTCGGTGCGTCTGAATTTAAAATGGTTTTTACGGCAATGCCGAAGAAAGATTCTCAAATTTCGTCATCACTTTCCCATATTACGCGTCGAACAGTAAACCCAGCCCCACTCCAGAAAGAGAAGTACTGTCTGAAGGGATGCCACTCTGGAGTGAATATTATTGGCACACACCTTTACCGGTCAGTACACGATACTCGCATAGAGAGAGATAGTCTACCCTTACTGTTTGGGTATTTATGGTTTAGCTATGCTAATTAGGCAGTCATTTACATATCTTTACAAAGACAAAGCTCTCGTGAAAAGATTGGATTTCGACTGTGAGTTGTTCAGGAAAACATACCCCTATTTTCCTACCTTTATGATTTACAAGTTGTCTCGTAATGTAATAAATTTGATTCCTTCTAAAGTCTGCTACTTCGACTCTATACTTCTAACAACTCCGCCTAAACACTGAAATTTTATTTTATTTTAAAAACTCAACAGACGTAGATAGATTCCCTAATCATCCGCTTCACACTCTTTCCTTGGTCTTTTGAACCAGAGTAGCGGTTTATCCCTTGTTTCCTGTTTACGATTGGGTTTCCGGTTTGTTTTAAAGTTTACTTCAACTCTATATTTCAAACGTTTCCGCCTAAACACTGAAGTTTTATTTACTATCAATACTTTTAACAGAAGTAGATAGGTTCTCCTATCGTCCGGTAGGGGTTTATTCCTTGTTTCTTGTTTAGGATCGGGTTTCCGGCTCCTTCTAAAGTCTTTTTCATTCTCTTTCACTACCAGTAGTAGTCCATTACGCCTTGTGGCGCTGTCAGCTTGTATGGGGCGAATTGATTGGAACAAAAAAAAAACAAAAAAAAACGAACAATAATAGAGATAGGAATTGAGAAGATAACGATTGACATTAGTTTAAATTTTTAAAGATAAATGTTGACTGGAATGTAAGAGGTCGGAAGAGAGTTTCACAAGCAATGATTATGCGAGAAGGAAGGCTAAGCATGAAATTTACGGTTACATCTGGTCATTTCAATAATGAGATCTAGCTGCCAATTTAGTGCTGCACATAAATTCGTTAATACGAGGTACTAAAAAGGAAAGTTCATCAATATAATTACCATGCAAATAT